TTATTAGAGTGAGTGAGACAAAGAGAGAGAGAGAGAGAGAGAAAGAGAGAGAGAGAGAGAGAGAGAGTGAGAGAGAGAGAGAGAGGGGGGGGGGGGGGGGTAATGGATAGTCCAAACTATAATCGTCAAAGGCAAAGCTACCATTTTCTGACCTCGAATCTATTAATAAAAGTAAACCTCCTTTGTCCTGACGAAAACTTTCGCGCGTTGCTTGTTCTTGAAATAAATTGAGATGATTGAAGATGTGTCGTGCCGGTATTTCACCCCTATATGTAATGTTTATATACAAACAGTACAGCCAGACCTGTTGATTGAATTCTTAATACACCGTACGTGCTATCATGGAGGGTCGGGTCTTTATTTTCTACTGACCTAGGAGTGTCGAACGGGGTCAGCTGACTCGCTTGACCTCCAGGTTCAATCAGGGCTGCGCGATGGCTCAGTGGTATAGTGCAGTGGTCTCGTAACCTACAGGTCCCGGGTTCGAAACCAATCACATGCGCTCGTGCCCTTTGGTAAGGCATTTGTCCCCATTGCCGGGTTCCTTCGAGGGGACTCAAAGCCGTCGGTCCCCTGGTTACTTACTTACAAGCATACATTTGTGTTCTTAGCAGTCAGGTAAACCAAACCAAACCAACCAGCCACTGTCCTAGATATCAGATTGTGTGAATAATTCTAAGGTGTATTGTGTAAATATTGCTTACTAGAGAAATGTTTCATTGTTAGTGCTAAACAAAACAAAAAACTTGTTTATGATTAATACAAATTAATTTATTGTCACAAATTATGATGTGAACGGGGCCAAACTTGACTTACTTTTGCTATTTCTTGGCTTTATTCATCGGATATATGCGTCATTTCTTGCTGTACGTCAATGTAACCTCGAACGTGTGCGTGAAAAAAATTAATAGAATCAACATAGAATCAAAGCAATAATGTAATATCGAAATAAAAATAACACCGCAGCTTCCTGGTTCTTTGCAGAAGGGGTTCATTCGCCCCTCTCCCATGCTGTTTTATACAATAAGTAAGCCCTAAATCCTTTTCACGAATTGTCAGTAGATATCAAGGTTTGCGAGTGTATTACTAAACTATGAATTTTGACATGTAGGTCCTAAATCCTTTTCACGAATTGTGAATAGATGTCAAAGTTTGCGAGTGTATTTATAACTAAACGATGAACTTTTACATTGTATCCGTTATTTAATGGCTCAATGCTACTTTGCAGATTGATTGATAACCATCTCTTGATCCTTTGATAGATAACATACATTTTCTTCGTGAGATTCCTTTCCTCTTCAATATGCCCTAAGCGTTATCCGATCAAGCAAAGATTCATATTATTTGGTTCTCTCTCATACAAATTGGCCCGAATTCACAAAGGAGGTTTGTCGACAAAACCTATGTTTATGTGCTTCATTATGATATGACGCGTTTTTACAAACCTAGGTTTGTATTTGTCAAAACACGTCAAAACGCGTCAGATGACGCACATAAACCTAGGTTTGTCGGCAAACCTCCTTTGTGAATTCGAGCCAATATGTTTGATCAAACAGCATGTACCAATGAGGTATATTTTAAAGAAAAAAGGAAAAATGAAAACAAAAATGCTGTCCTCTCTCTCTCTCCCCCCCCTCTCTCTCTCCCTCTCTCTCTCTCTTTGTCTCTCTGTGTCTGTGTCTGTGTGTCTCTCTCTCTCGTTGTCCCGTGTCCTGATAAATATCATAGTAACTTGGCGGTCAAATGCCCCCTCCCCCCCCCCCCCTCCACGGTAGATTTTAAAAAAATGCAAAGCAATTAACACCCCCAAAATGACGTGATCTCCTGTAGTAGTTTTCCTCACCACGCTTTTCGCGGATATCCTCACCGAATGCTAACCGACGATGAATTGGAGATACAAAGCCACATTTCAGTTTATAGAACCTTGTGTCTGCAAATAATTTTTTTGTTCGACTGATTCACTGCCCACTACCTTCGGCCGCCCCCTCCCAACATAAAAAAACAACACGGCTGCGCCATTGATTCGCCTCTTGTTTCAAGTTTCAAGTTAATTTATCTTTCTTTCATAACACACATTACAACATTTATGACATGAATATATAAGAGTGAACAGAATATGGCGTTACAATAGAAAGATGAGGTGACCTTGGTTGAAAGCAAGGTTTGTGGATTTAAGGTCCCTCATGAGTAGTTTATGATGTATGTCCTAAAAGAACAAACTCGTCAGATAAGAATAATGCGTACATTTAAATGCTTACAAAATGTAAACTAACTAAACAACTGAGAAAGTATTAAACATAAATAAGTACAATAAAATCTACTGACTACTAAATAATGGCTATAAACAACAGGAACAGGAATATACTACGAACAACAGGACTGAAACACAGACAAAAACTAAACAAGACAGACAGATGAATAAATGTGAGAAACGGGAGTTCACAAGCCCTTTTAAAAAATGACGTAATCTCCTTTTATAGTTTTCCACATCCATGTTATCGGCGGATATCCTCACCATGCTAGTATTAGCGGATAATCATCACCACGCTGTTAGCGGATATCCTCACCAAAACAAAGACATTTGATTTAAAAATATCCTGAATTCCACGGCATCAGTATCGACCAGTTTGGTTGTGTGGTATGTGACATATTGCTCAACCTCTTTCTAAAATTAGTTTGCTACTGGAAAACTGCTAAATCTTAACAAAACTGTATTCATTTTTAACACAAACATTGTCTTTACCGAGTCATCTCAAAATGTCAACTTTTCCTACTGAGGCTTACGTAAAATATAAATCTTATCAGTGTGATAAATGTATTTTTGTTATATTATTTATGATTAAATTTTACTCGAGAAAATAAAATGAATCAGCCTGAATCTCATTATCAATCGAAATTTGATGTTTTCTAAAGCAGAATAAGTATTAATGATATTACTACTATTACTACAACTGCTACTACTACTACTGCTACTACTTCTACTACTTCTACTACTACTATTACTACTACTACTACTACTACTACTTCTACTACTACTTCTACCACTACTACTACTACTACTACTGCTACTACTACAACTACAACTACTATTGCTACTACTATTACTACTACTATTACCACTACCACTACTACTACTACTACTACTACTACTACTACTACTACTACTACTACTACTACTACTATTACTACTACTATTACCACTACTACTACTACTACTACTACTACTACTACTACTACTACTACTACTACTACTACTACTACTACTCTTACTACATCTCCTTATACTACTACTGCCACTACTACTATTACTACTACTACTACTACTACTACTACTACTACTACTACTACTACTATATTACTTCTACTACTACTACTACCACTACCACTACTACCACTACCACTATCAAGGCTACTACTCCTACTCCTGTTACTACTCCTATAATAATATTACTACTTATACTATCACTACTATACTAATTTTGCTTCTACTACTGCAACCATACCGTATTACTTCTATTACTACTACTACTACTGCTCTTACCACTCCTACTACTGCTTTAGCTTACTACTAATGCTAATACTATCGCTGTTTTACTTAACATTAGACTAAGTTAATAACTGAGTTATTGTGTGTCTATGTGAACAGATACGATGGCCTGCAAAAATGTTTGTGGGGGGGGGGGGGGGGGCTGCCCTATAGCTGTGACGAAAGATTTAACCGAATTCATATCTACAATTTGAAGAGAACGTGTTCAGAATTATCAGTTTTATGCCATTTCAAACCGAAATCAATTGTGGCTTAGAGATGAATATTATAAAGCCCCACACGTAACAAATGTAAACCCCAGATTCCCTCTCTCACATGACTTAAATATATATCAAACATAACTGTGTGCGTGCGACAATCCATGTTATAGTCATGCATAATGAAGCAAAGCCCCCATGGACAATCGCAGGCGGCTGAAGTTCAAATAGAGCTTGAAATCTTCAGAATATTATATGACCTTTGATTCCCGACCGATATATCAAGTTGAAATGCCTTTCTTTCATATGACCTTTGAGCTTGGCTCTTTCTACACCATCACCAATGTCATGCACACCCCCCCCCCAAAAAAAAAAATGCATTGCCGGTAGTGCTGGCATAAGCCATGGTGTTGTTTCACCAGAATAGATGTCATACTTCACCCGTTTAAACTCACATTTCGTTTCCTTTGTATTGCAAATGTATGTACATGTATTGAGTAAATAAGAGAGAATAAAAGATTCGAGAGTACAATTAAGTTAGGTCTATTTACTCAGAGAGAGGCGCGACGGTGGGAGAGCAGTGGTCTCGTAACCGGAAGGTCCCGGGTTTGAACTCGCTGCGCAAGTGCCCTTTGGTAAGGATTTTTTCCTCATTATCAAGTTCCTCGGAGAGGACTTAATGCCGTCGCACAGAGGGCCAGGGAGGAACCAAAGTGCGCCAAAACTCATGTTTGGGGATTTATTTTTTATAAATCCAGAAGAAATGTTTGGATTTCCAGGGATTTTCACTTCAATTTTATTACCAACATTTTCTCTGATGTCTAAGCTTTAAGTTGATACCAGATTTGGCTGCCCGATTCTGCCCGTTTTTAGGTTAGAGCCGTTTTCCTTGCAACATTGCCCTGAAAAATGTGTTTATTTTGGTCCGCGGTGTCAGAACAAGCAAAGAGATTCGATCATACACAGTATGTCCTCCGTAGGAGGACTAGAGGGCCAACTAAAATCGTGACCTTTGACATTTCATAGGTTTTGCATTGGATGCATTATGGGGGTTTTGTCCGATTTGAACGACGGTTTTGGAGGGTCAATGAATATTCATGAGCAATGACGTAAAAAATACGCCAACTACTGTTTGTTAATTGGCCATCGACAAAATGTTTTATGTATTAGGTCATGCATAAAACATTTTTTTCATTCCCAGAATTCCCTACGATTTGAGCACGAAAATGGCGGTTGTATGAACTGCAACTTTCAAGTTATTCAATTACGAACAATGAAACATTTTTCTTTTAAGTGAATTTCTATTATAATAGAAGTTTGTCAAGTACATCTCAGTGAAGCAGAAAATCTTCAGGCAAACATCGACATCAAAGTGATACCATACGGATACCAAAAAAGTAAGTAAAGATCAATTTTGTGTGAAGATCTCTGAAATGATTGTGATGTGTTCGTCATTGCAGTGAGGGGATCTCCGCATTGTCACAACGTATTACCCGGTTAACCCCCTACCCCATCCTCTTTTCTTTCTTCTGACCAAAGCATATTAACTGATTGAATGAACTCTGATTTAAGTCATCGACGGTAGTATTTTTAGAAAATATCAGGATTTTACCGTAGGTTATTTCAATGAGCACATCTCATAATTTTAAGTTCAGTTCATAGCTTGATTACCGATAGTAATCGGTCGTAGATGTGGACCTGTTGGAGACTGCGCAAATGGCTCATTGCTAGTCCAAGCCGATGAGATCTCGTCGAGCCTATGGCCCGAATTCACAAAGGAGGTTTAGATTTAACCCAGGCTAAATCGCGTCATAATACGTCATAACCCCGAGCTTTAGACCATGGGTCATTATTTTGGTATTCACAAAGGAAGTTTAGATTTAACCCAGGCTAAATCGCGTCATATTACGTCATATTTTTAACCTGCTCAGAAGGGTGGTTTAAAACAGCGGACTAAATCTAACCCACGGTTTAACGCGTCATATGACGTCATACCAGCGAGCTTTGGCTTTTTAGCGCAGACGATCGTACAAATTTTGTTGACAAATTTGTGGTGAAACATAGTGAAGAGACCTTCACAAAGTTGCTGTTTTTTCAACTTTGATAGCCTACATTGTAAGTATTTTTAGTTATTCACAACATATTTGTACCATATTCTCAGTTCTGCTACAATGGAAGCCCAATCGAACATGATTTATGTGCGTAAAAAGTGCACGAATAATAATCTTCATCGTAAGTTGCACAGCCTTTGCGAACATTGTCGCAGAACCTAACGCAGCTCGGACCCATGCGTGTGTATTTGTGTTGTGTTGTTTATGTAATCCTGCGAGGCAAGGCAATTTCGCAATAACTGCGAATGTGCCAGCTAACAATACGAAATTAGTTATAACTTCACACAATTGTGTGATTCGGGAAGAAAAATATGATAATCATGACATTTGAGACATTCCTGGCCGGGGGGGGGGGGGGGGGGGGGGGGTAGCGACAGTTTCATTTGTATTTTCTGCTCTGCTGATGCTGCTTCTCATCTAACGGAGGAGAACGAAAAATGTCGAAATGAAAATGAAAATTCTTCCACGCTGATGGATTTCACTAGAGTCTAGTCTAGTCTAGGCCTACTATATACAGAGGCCTGGTCTAGACCTAGATCTAGACTAGTCTCTAGTATACTACTAGTCCTACACTGACACTCAGTATATCTACTGACTGAATAAGACTTGAGCTTGAGCTCGAAGTCGATCGGTGGCAGTGAGAAACGCAAACACGACGTGGGCCTAGGCTAGATGATACTTGATAGATCTAGGTCTAGGCCTAACGTTAGATCTATCTAGATCTAGTCCTCAGTCTCAAGAAATTAGTCAAAGCACGCCAAACCATGGCATGAATTAATAAAAAGTATTTTGTAAATTATTGTAAAAGATGCAGAATCTAGATCTAGATCTAGGTCTAGATCTAGATCTAGAGGTGTAGAATCTAACTGTTAGACCTAGATCTAGACCCTAGTCTAGATCTAGGCTAGACCCTAGATCTAGTCTATTCTAGAATCTAGATTTAGAAATTGAAATGGAATAAAATGTTTTTCAAAATAGACCTAGACTAGATCTAAGTTAGACCTAGATCTAGTCTAGATCTAGTACTCTAGACTTTCTAGAATCTATCTAGAACTAGATCGTAGTTAGACCGAATTTTCCGTCTCTTTCGTTCGTTAGCCTAGCCTCTTATTGGGGTAGGGTCGGCCGGCTCTCTCTTTAGAGAGAGCCGGCCGACCCTACCCCAATAAGAGGCTAGGCTAACGAACGAAAGAGACGGAAAATTCGGTCTAGATCGTAGTAGACCTAGGCCGTAGGGTCTACCGGTCTAGACCTCAGGCTCTAGATCTAGAATCTAGTCTAGGCCTATGTGGTCTAGACCTTTCTAAACCTAGACTCTAGACCTACTTTTCATAAATTCATGCCAAGCCCGCGCCGATGGTTTGTTGTGTTGTGTCTTGAGAAGTTGAGTGTTTGTGTGTCTCACCGTCACTGAGTTCGAGCACAAGTCTGAGCTGAATGAGAGGTACTTTGTCTTTAGGCCCATCTAGACTAGACTCTAGTAGACTACTGACTGTCGAATGTCTCTAGAGTCTACACTCAACTCCTACAAATTTATACTTCATCATGATCATGTCTAGGCCTAGAGTCTACATCAATACATTGTTGTACTTGAATTTTGAAGCAAGTTTAAAATCTGTGCAAGCAAATAGCCAATAAATCAATGTGCGTTCTTCCTAATCTACATGTAATCTTAGTCAAATTCAACCTTTCACATGGGACATCTAATGCTAATTTACATGTAGATCTACATGTATCTAATTTCACATTTTATCAAGCATGAGTAGATTTTGAACAAAACATTACACGAACTGGCCCCTACGTTCTTATGGAGGTTCAGTGACATCATCTTTCCTAATTACCCAATAGTATGAATCAATAGCACTCATTTCTTTAATGCAATCAAAGTATTGTTAATATTTTTTTTAGAGTTTGCAAAAGCTATTCAAAATCAGATTGTCTACAATACAAAGAATGCAAAACATGTAATATCATAGGATTTATTTGATAAACAATGAATGATATTTTTTCATTTCATGTTCTAATTTTAATTCACTTTTTTCTATTTTGTTGTGACAGAGACAGCATGGCTGAATATATTCACCATCTCCGCCAGCTTGATCGGAACAGAGAGTTGATAGGCAGACCTCAGAGAGGCCTTCGTGACCCATGAACCCTTTTGAAGTGTATGATGATGAGTCATTTTGGACCAGGTACTGGTTTTCCAAAGAGACAGCGCTCTACCTCATCAACTTGGTGGATGAAGAGCTGAGGAGGACGACAGACAGAAACGACCCAATACCTATACAGGTAGTGACAGCACTTCGATTCTATGCTGTTGGTGAGTAATTTACCTTATTTAGTATTTAGTAAATTTCTATTTAATTTGGGCTGAGCGAAAAAGTAAAAGGGTAAAATTGCGGTTACCATGTTTTGCGGGAGGTTTTTTCATAAATCGGGAGATTCTACATCAAAGCGGGAGGAAGGGCGTGGTGGCCTGAGACTCCCTCTAAATGCAAGAGGGTTGACAGCCCTGATTTAATAAAAAATCTATTCTACAATTTTAAGGACATTAAACATTTCTCAGTTTGAGAATTTGATCTGGCCATGTAACTTGTAAGAAATTGTACTAGTTGATATTTCACTAAAAGGATTTTTTTTTTTACAGGGTCATTCCAAAAGATGCATGGTGATGAGGCACAACTTTCACAGTCTTCTGTATGCAGAGTCATCAAAGACGTGTCAGAAGCGTTTGCAAGAAGAAAGAAACAATTCATGAAGTTCCCAACATCAAGAGAAGAAGTAGAAGCAACACAGCAGCAGTTCTACCAATACTGCAGGTTGCCAGGTTTTCTAGGTGCAATTGATAGGACTCATGTCTACATCAAGAGTCCTGGTGGAGATCAAGCCCTGTATTTTATTAATAGGAAGAACAGATACTCTATTAATGAAATGAAAATTTTCCCTTTTTTTGGAGATGCTCCCCATTTACTTTTAATCCAATTAATTAAATGACCGATATGGAATTGGTTCACCCTTTAGTTTCTCTGAACGAAACGTACACCCATGCAGTACTGTGGTCTGAAACAATTAGACCGGATGATTTGAAATCTAATGGTTGATATAGTTCCTCCAAAAAACATTTTTGCAAAAAGTACCAACCACTTTGAAAGGGAAATCGTCATCATCTTCATCATCATCAACATCATCACTGAAATCGTTATTTGACTGCTTCATCACCATCGCCACCGACAACATGATTGCTGTCATCATTATCATCACTGACATCATCATCGACTTCAACATTTCCTTCATCAATAACCTTGAATACTTGTTTTGATTATCCATATTAAATCGTCAATATTTAAATATAAATTTCTCTTGTTTGATCGTGTGGTTTTTCTCGTGAAATCATTAAGTTAGGAGGTAAACGTTTTACAAGGGAATGACCTACTTTGTTTATCTTGTTTAATTATTAATATACCATTTGCTGTTATCTATTACTTATAATTACCCAGTACACACCATGAATTAAAATGGATTCGGTATGTTTCGCTAAATCCAAACACCTGTGCAGTACAACATTAAGAGAGAGGAGAGAGAGAGAGCAAAAGATAAAGAGAGAGATGAAGAAAGAAGGAGAAAGGGTATGTGTGAGAGAGAGAGGTGGAGAGAAAAGAGAAAGAAAAGGGGTACGAGAGGGATTTAAAAAAATGGAGTTCTAACGAAATGAAAAGATATTTGAGAGAGGTGGGGTGGAGAGCTGGTGAAAAAAGAGAGACAACAAACAAAAACAAGGAAGGTGAAAGAGTGAGAAATAGAGACGAAATTTACAAAAAAGTTCTTTTCTTTTTGTTTAAATCACTATTCCCTTGAGAAATTCAATAAAGCAGAAAAATTAAGAAAAAAAAAATGAACGCCCCCCTAAGAAAAGAATTAATACTGTAACAGCAAATAAACAAATTCAGAAAAAATTAATGCCCCCCCCCTAAAAAAACAATTAATGCCCCCTCCCCCCTAAGAAAAATTAAAAACAAAATTACCCCCACCCCCTAAGAAAACAATTAATGCCCCCTCCCCCCTATGAAAAATTAAGAACAACATTAACCCCCCCCCTAAAAAAACAAACCATCCCCTAAGAAAACAATTGATGTCCCCCCCCCCCCCCCGAATTAGGCCTAATAATTTTTTATCACATGTCAAGACTGCCTTGTTTTTGCTGTCCTATTTTATATGACCAGTAAGCCCGTTTTTTTTCTCAATACATCTATGCATTTCATGCATTAATGCCAGTATTTTCTATCAGATAGTATTTATCGTATAACCTTTCAGCCCTTTCTTTCTACATCATCAACACATTCTGGACTAAACGTCATCGATCGTTTTCGCTGCCTCTACGGAGTCTACGCTATATATAACACGAGTCTACTCTTACTTCGGATTGATTAATTGCTAAACTAAAGTGTGACCTACTCTCTAAAATCATCATAACAATCAACGAAAATGTGATCATATAGCTCTAAAATGAACACTACATCATAGAAAATTTTCACTCTGGTATAAGGATCGTTTACAGAAGTTTTTTGTGGACTCTTCCACGAAAACTGTCGATGTTTAGTGTGTTGTGATGCCCAGCTGATCATATTTATGTCGGACGATTATAGGCCATAAATTAACAACGAGAGTGAGGAATTATTGAGGTAATTTATGCGAAATTCGGTAATATTTTGAGGACATCTGTCAGAGAACTGTTTTAGTATGTGAATAGTGGTTTAAAGTCTTATCTCAACTTAGAATCGGTCGGTTTTCAGTCTCTACTTGTAGGCGAAGAGTAATAGCCCAAATACAACTGAATCTGGACTTAGCAGACGACGGTGAACTAGGTGGAGTAACCAAGTGTTCTGAGCGCGCATGCTCAGTTCAATGCTTCAATTCTGCGCATGCTCAGTTTATTTTTTTGCTCTCTTAGGCATGCTTAAACCGTGGGTTAAACCGTGGGTTAGATTTAGACCATGGGTTATTTAACCCACGCTTTGTGAATACCGAGCGAGGTTTAAACCGTGGGTTAGATTTAGCCTGGGCTAAATAACCCAGGGTTAGATTTAGCCTGGGTTAAATCTAAACCTCCTTTGTGAATTCGGGCCTATGTGTCTCTTATGATCTTCAATCCGCCGGTTCTAGCCGGCTGTAACACTCCACCAAGAAGCGACTGCGTTTCCTGAGCTGGCGCGGCTATAACTTACAGTGTGTTACTGTAAAGCCTAGGGCTAGGCTAGTATTCATAGCATAGTCTGGCCTGAATTTTCTGTCTCTTTTGTTCGTTAGCCTCTGATTTGGGTAGGGTCGGCTCCTCTCTTCAGCCGACCCTACCCAAATCAGAGGCTAACGAACGAAAGAGACCAGAAACATTCGGGCTAAGCAGAGCCTAAGCAGTGAGCAGAGCCTAGGTCTAGATCTAGACTAGTCTAGATCTAGCACTTAAATATAAACAGCATTTAACCCCACATCTAGTATAGGCCTAGATCTAGGGCTAGATTCTAGGCCTAATGCATTCTAATAAAGAAAGACTAAATGCCTGGTGTAGGTGGATCAAATAAATGATGTGGAAGTTATGGAGAGGGGGGGGGGGGGGGGGGGTGCACAATCATTCTGTGCCCCCTTTTTCAGATGTGGCATAGGGACGGGTCTAGATCTAGATCTAGAGTCTAGATTTTATGCCACCCCTTTTAGTTTTATGTTGGTGAGAATTCTGGATCCAACCCTACATATGATATGGATATTTCTTTCTCTATTAAAGGACATGAACAAAGTTATAAACTGATAACTAATGCATTTGATATTAGCAGGAACCTTACTAAGTTTATTTTTTCTTTAAATTGTAGATCCTATGGAACAAAGAAGCAGATAATGATCACAGAAGTGCAACAAAGAGCACCAGGACCTGATCATCAAATGTTATGGTGTAGATTTAATCAGGAACAGGACACCTAAGTTGAACTCTGGCAAGGTATGTTTGTATGAAGTTCGAAAATATTCAGGCTGTATAATCTAAGCCCATGCGAACACCGCACTCGACTTGGACTATATACAAAGATTTGGGGAACTGTCATCTTGTGTTGCATTATATCTTGTAATTCTCATTTATTCTCTAGCTTTTTATTTAGGTGACAAACTATGGTGTTGCTACAGTTTATTCTCTCAGCATATTAAAAGACGTACTCAGAGGCATTTTCCCCTAAATATTACATTATATCTAACAAACTTTTGTTCACAAAAGTCTAGCAAATAATAACTTAAAATAAATTGGAAATTACTTTTAAAATAATTGGAAATACATCTAAACCTTTACTCTTCTTTTCAAAAAAGGCCCTATCAGATAGACATAAGTTTATCATTTTTTAATAAATTTAAATGCAAGACCTAAAAAAAGTGGGGAGGTACTAGATCTATTTTTGAAAATCCAATATAATGCAGCAGTTTTAATCTTATTTGATTTCTCCTCTCTTTTTGTTTTTATTATGCAGGTTGTCCCTTGCAGAAGGTTTGATACCCAGGCTTCTTTTGTACAAGTCCCTAGTCCACCCTCATCTTGAGAACTGCTCCGGTGTCTGGGATCCCTACAACATCTCAGATGTCCAGGACGCTACTTCACAATGGGGACCACAAGAGAAGCAGCAGTTTGACTGAGATGATCAGCACCTTTAGTTGCCTACTATATCTACAACTACAAGGCACCCTGCAAGAGGACTGGGAATGGTGCACAAGATAGTCAATGGTCTCTCCGCTCTCCCTTGAAAATTTTCCCACTGTACTACTTATAGCTACTTGTGCCCTCTATATAGCAAACAATGCCTAATCGGTGCCTGTTGGTCCCCCATGATCCTCTTCTTCTTATATTAATTGAGAGCTGATTTGATGAGATAACCACCTGTAAGTGACCTTGCAGGGTGGTCTAATCCCCCTGACCAAACTAGTACAGAAAAGTTTGTATGTGCCCAACACTCTGTCCCAAAGTTAATGGAACTTACTTCCAGCAAATATAGTGCATGCTGACAGTCCAGAGAACTGCCAGGGACTACTTCTGAGGCATCTACTCTCCTTATCCCATTTATCCCACTTAGAAACAATCTATCTTCCTCACACCACTTGTAATCTTTAGTATTAATTCATCTCCGTGATAGGCTACAACGCCTTTTGAAGATTACCAGAAGAAGAAGAAGAAGGTATATCGAGGGTCATGAAAGTAATCATTTGTTCTTTTAAATGCGTGTACATGTAACATAGTTGTTTGATATTTAATCTTAAGTCAAGTTCTGACAAATATATTAGGGATGCTGAACTGGATAGTAAATTGAAGGGGGGGAATAAAATGATGTAGTTCAATAGTAATACTGTAGTAATATAATTAATAACATTAATAATAATAACAATATTACAAATAGTAACAATAATGACAATGATCATGATAATAGCAGTAATAATAATGATAATACAGGTAGTAGTAAAAACAACAATAATGTCAAATGTAAGATAAAGTACTCATAAAACTCAGTATATACCTGTGCTTTACATAATAAAATAGCATGTTGATATTATTGAATTTTTTTCCTCAAAATCTACAGTAAACGTTTACAACTGAAAAATTTGAATTCAAGAGACAGCACCCCCCCCCCCCTCCCCCATCCTTTTGTCATCCTTTTGTTGATGTCATGTTGGATTCAAAAAGATCTTTATAGAAACAAAATATGTTGATAAATGAGTTCATAGATGTTAATAAATTAGTTAATACTACTTAATTCTGTTCTTTTCATTTTCTTATTTTGTGAAATATATGTGATGATGCTGGTGATTATGATGATGTAGGCACTCTGTAATGATGATGCTCTATGACTGAGGTGAGATGGGGGCTGATGCAGTCTTGTGTAGAATTGAGTATGGTGTTCGACCTTTTGATGTTTGTTTATATCTGGCATCAGCGAGATAGATTTAACCATCTTTCCTAATGAGAGAGAAAGCGGAAATGTAACAAGAGAGTGGGCAAGACTAATGTATAAATATAGTATAAAAAATGGTTTACAATAAAGATGAGGGGGGGGGGGGGGTTAAATAAAGAATAGGTCAATGCCAAAATGATGAAAGCATAGGTAATTGGGGTGTGGATGGGGGAGGGAGGGCAATAGAGCCTATGGAAATGTCAATATTGGAAGGGGTCCCTGTATTGAAAATGTTACTGATGGGGGGGAGGGGGGGGGGGGGCAAATTTTAAAAAAATCAGTGGCGACGAATGCAAGAATGAAAAGAACGAGACAATATAGAAATTTCATTGGGGATATGGGGCACAATATGAAGATCATTGAAGTCGAGGTGAGAATGATTCATTATTTGGACACTAAAAATATGAATATATCACTTGTTGAGTGGGCTAAATGATCAGTGCAATTTTTCTGATTAAAAAAATATTTAAGTTAATAAACGAACAAAACAAAAAAGAGGTAAAACATGAATTGAGGTACCACAGTGAAATGGGGTCATTATTTTTGCCTTTTAACTGAACTGAATTTAAAAAAATGTACTTTCCATCCTGGTGACAGTGAAGTTTGTGGCCCCAACTAAGTCAACCATTTAAAAGTTTATTTACCCCCCCCCCACCCCCCCCCCCCCCCCCCCAACACACACACCTCCCCAACTCTGACCTTTGTTCTACATTTATTCGGCCCAAGGATTCTGTCGAGAGTAACGCATGCGCATTGCCTTTTTTCATTACGATAATATGCTAATAAGTGGAAATGAGCTCATGAATATTCCAAATTTTAATTTACATATTTTACGCGCTGCGCGCAGTCCAAAATCCCCATTTCGCTGGTGCACTAAACATTTGTCGTCTTCATAGGCTAATACATGAAAAGTGGAAGCAGTGTGCACTTTTGACCCTCCAAAATTTCCCCATGGCTAGACGGATGCAGAAGCGGAGTTGAACCCCCCTGAGAACAAGTGTCACGCGCCCCCTCGCGCCGTGATCACGAATCCTTCATGATTCAGCCGCGGACCCCAAAAACCCACATTTTTCGGGGCAATGTGGCAAGGGAAATCGGCTCTAACATAACAACGGGCAAGATCGGGCAGCCAAATTTGGTATCAACGTGAAGCTTAGACATAAAAAAAAATGGTGGTATTAAAATTTAAGCGGTACACCGCGGAGATCTAAACATTTCTTCTGGATTTATAAAAAACATGGATGATTAGTCCATTTTTCAGTGAATTACCCTATAATATATCATGAATATTGTGTTTCTATTAATTTTAACCCATTCATTCAACGAAATGAAGTATCAGGAATGATGTGAGAGAAATTTCATATCAATAACTTAAAAACTTTATGTTCAATTGAAAGATTTATAAAATAAGTCACTTTTGCACTAAAACTGTGAATATGTAGGATTTTGCTGTTTGAAGTAGTAAATTTATACCCTTATTGTGCATACAGAAAATGAAATATTTCACTGAGGTATTCCTCTATGTATTACTGGGCAAGAAAAAAATTGAAAAAAATAAATCACCCAAAATTAGTTTTGGCGCACTTTGGTTCCTCCCTGGCCCACATGCTTTCTTGGCAGTAATATGTAAAACAAACAAAAATAAGAACATTAATCAACCGGTAATGGTCTCATGTTTCCATCTTTACCAATTTGGGGCATTCTGAGGAGGCTGGGAACAGTGTGTGGTATGTGTGTGGAAGTGTGGTCGGGTGGTGGGCATGTTTGTGTGTGACGGTGTGTCGTGTGTCGCATTGTGGGGGGGGGGGGGGGGGTATGGGGTAGGAGGGTGTTTGGTTGGATGGGGTTACTTGTTTTATGTTATAACTGATTTCATTTTTTTTCATCAATCGTACAATCTATGTATTGAAAATGTATTGAATCATGTCAAGATAAAAAACAAGTGTTTTTCTAGGATTGATTTGTATTCTTTTGGAATCATTAAAAAAAACTAAATTGTAGAAAAAAAACCCCACCAAAACATATATCCTGAACACACGCACACACACATGCCATAGAGAAGCCATTGGTTTCAATACACCCATACAAATCAATTTAAATGAAGTCAATGGACCGTTGATCGAAAAGAAATCAGACGAAGAAATTCAATGCAGTAGCTGTGGAGTCTCCAACAGGCCCGAACAGGGCTCGACATCAATTCTTTTCCTTTCCCACAATAAGGATTTATCACAGAAGGAGGTGAAAAACGATCATGATTATCAAGTAAATACAAGATTTCTAGAGCATGCTAGGAATCCAAACCATTGTGATAATCTAACAATATCCCTTCATCGTCATTTCCCCATCATTCTGAACATTCCATATATCTGTATTCACGTTAAAGGTAATACAAAGTTCTGGTATGGGGTCATGAATTTGGTTCAAATGAACATATTGGAAGCATAATTATGCGATCCTACAATATTCAGTGATCGTTGTCGCGGTTGAAATCGAGTCTAAAGTTATGAAATTGTAAATAATAAACTCAAGATAGGTCAAGATATTAATCAAGCTATAAAACAATGTTTCTTGACTAAAATTGACCAATTAGCTGTTCCCGTTTGGAAATCATATATGACAGCTACATATTCTGAGATTTTCATGGTCGCAGCTGCTATTGTAAGGCCGTAGGCGCTATAATGTATTTATCAACTTTTACCGGGAGCACCGTTAAATTTTTATATTCAATTTTTCTCGAAAGCAGAATTGTTTTAGGGGCCAAATTTCTAGTGCTTATACTACATCCACAGGGGCATCCCAATATATCAAAATGGTAAAGAATCACTATCCAGGCCAATTTTCAAAATTTCCAAAACTACGTATTACCTTTAATGTTCCTCTTTTTTCTAAAGGGTATATAATTATATAAGTGTTGACTTAAAAATATAGGCCAATATTTAATGACAAATAAGTAATCACATGTTCAATCGAAATTAGCCTTCTCAAAAGGAGCTTGTATGCCCCTGCCTTGTGGCTATTTGGATTGCGGTTCGTATAGAATGTTGTTCCTTTATTAGGGGGAAGTGCAGTCTGAAAAAAGTTTTGAATTAATCAGGAAAATCATAAAATGTGACAACTGCGGATTATTCTTTTGAGGGTTCATCTTTATAACGGCATTCATGCGCATTGCTTCATTTAACAATGCCTTGAAGGAGAGCATTTTTTTCCCTTCTAATGGTTCTGGTTGTGGTGAGAAAGACGATATGAATTAATCAAGAAAGTCATAAAATGCGTGACGGCTGAGGATTATTCTTTTGAAGGATCATCTACATACCGGCATTTACGAGCATTGGATCATTGAACACATCCTTGAAGTTGAAGGAGAGCTTTTTTTTCTTCTGAGATTTGTGGTGAGATAAGTTTACGGCTGAATTCCACTGCTGTTTGCTCTTCAAAAGACCCTGACAGGCGGGAAAACTTGGCACCCTGCTCAATGACAAATCACCCCAAACAGTTCAAATCCGCATCCAAGGCGATATCGGGGCTTCGAAAGATTTATGACATCTTTTTAAAGGCCAACTGCACTACTGGTAGCTACTTGCGCCCTCTATATAACAAACAATGCCTAATCGGTGACCATTAGTCCCCCATGATCCTCTTTTTCTTATGCTAACTGAGAGCTGAGTTGATGAGATAACCACCTGTCCAGTGACCTTGCAGAGCGGTCTAATCCCTCTGGTAAACTACGGCAGATAAGCTTTAAAGGGTGTCTACCAATGAACTTCTATATTTTGTGTTCATATTAGACTGAAGTTGGATATAATTGGAGATAAGGGAGTTTGTCTTTATAACCCTGGACAATTAGGGAACATCCCATCTTTGCTCCGCGCCTACCAGTAGTTTGGTTTTTCCTGGGC